TGTCCCTCATTCCCCAATTGAGTTGCCCCCTAATTATATCCTAATGGAGAACGTCCAAGGCTTCGAGATGATCGCACACGAGGCAGAGTTTACCGAGACACTGAAAAAGGCAGGCTACAGTTACCAAGAGTTTCCTCCTGTCCCCTAGTCAGTTTAGAGTCCCAAATCGCGACTTCGCTACTATCTCTTGGCGAAAAAGAGGCCTCTGGAGTTCTGTATGAGTCCAGTCGCAGCGCCTAGTCAAGATGCTCATGCTTTGACAGAGTTTTCTCAGGAGATGGCTGTCCAGCAAGGTCCAGGTGTGTATTCACTGCTACGCTGCATAATGCATGAGCCATTGATTTCCTCATATATGGTATGCTTGTTTTACTATTGCTTACTAGCAATAAACTGGCGGGCGTAGTGTTTATGCACCCATGCAACTTTTGTACGCACTGCAATTGTATGTACTTGACTCACTTAGTTTGTGAATTACCACCATAAAATCTCTGTTTCTTTTACAGCTCACTCCTCTTCCATTGAACCCTCCCTCTCTCCCTACCTCGAGAACCACTCTGAATCATACCTACACTCACTACTAGTACCTACTCACATCCTCTGCAAGTACGCCCTAGCCATGGACATTGTACGACCAGACTCCACCCATTCTTGTTGCTTCACACGGGGTTACGGGAACTATGCCGTTGGTACAGGCTCCGTCCTTCAGCACTGTCTCGCTGAAGACGACATGCACAGCTGTTTCAAGATTTTCAAAGAAAAGAGAGAGCATGGAGACACAGAATCTGCAGCCGAGGCTCTTCTGCCCCTCAAGTTGAGATACTTTTCGCCGAGAGAGGTGGCCAACTTGATGTGTTTCCCGCAGGATTTCTCGATCCCAGCCGACGTGACTCTGCGACAGAGTTACAAAGTTCTAGGGAACAGTCTGAATGTACTTGTTGTATCAATACTGCTGAAGTACCTCTTAAGTGACAACAGAACGTTTTAAACCACTCTTTGTGCTTCTTTTTAACTTTCCAGCACTGGTGCTAATCATGCATTTTGCTATCCATATATTTACAAGAATTCTCTTCAATTGATCTAGCTACTACGCATGAAATAAAAGCAATGGCGCATCTTGCATGGGCACAAACTTGTTGTTGCATTGTTCATACTTTAAGAGGGTATTTTCCTCCCAAAAATTCAACCAAATTCCCATAGTAGACAACAACATTTTTCTGAATTTGAACACTCTAAAACCCAAAAATTACACTACTACACTGTTACTTTCTTCTGAGCATGCAAGAGTTGCTTATTCTGTGGATGGTGTTGGCGCACATGGCCCCGCTCTGACACTCCTTCAGCCCCTGACTCCTCTGTAGCCCACTCACACACTCTCTGAACACTCTGATGTCCCTTGGAGCCGTCGACATGGGGTTAAAGTTATCACCCAGGTACTTGTCTAGTCCAATTCTGCAAAGATGTATGTAATACACGACAGTGAGTCAAAAGGTGGATGCAAGAGAGAATATTATGCAACAGTAGACTGTAAGTCACAAAGAGAAAGCTAATAAAAATTAATACGTGAAACTGTGAAATCACAACATGTGCGTAAAGTGTGAACGAGAAAACTCTTGTGTGGATTCATAACCCATCTTTGATTGGTTGATTGGGAATCTCAGAAACAAAATTCACCAGACATACAGTACTACTGACACAACCTAAGTATAAGTTAAAAAACCCTGCGTGCTGAGGGATAGCGTCTAAATTAGATGGGGTCTTCAACAGTCCAGCACATACCTAACCATGCTGGCGTAGATGGTGATGTAAGCCTGTCTGAGGAACTGGTAGGTGGTGGGGGAGAGGTGACCAGTCTCTGGTACCACCACCGAGAACTGGGCCTCGTGGTGGTTGTGGGCTCGCTGGAGAAGGGAGGGGGATTAGCCCCTTTAATAAAGAGGTAATATTATTGCTTTTGTTGTGTATGATTTATACCGCCCTTCTGAATGGCAAAAGGAAAACCTTCGCCTTGTTTTGACCATGTCATCAAATTGACACACTACAACTTACGGTATACCTGGAATGTCTTGACGGCATTGAGAGTGATGTCATCGTATTCCCCTGTGATCTTGTATGACACACTCAGGTAGTTGAGCCTCTGGAGATACATCTGCACAATCAGAGTACATGGGAGACAGCATAATATTCCTGGACAACACTGATCCTCGAGGGCGGGTGGGACTCAAACCCACAACTGGACTCTTCTATTGTACCTAAGTACACCAGGGCATTTCAGCAGGCAAGGCTCAAAGTATTGTAATGTAAGTGCGCCATTCACCATTATTGTATTATCATTGCACAGTTTAATTTAAAACTGGACGTCATGCAGACCTGAGCTTGGAGTGTGATGGTGTGAGCAGCTTCAGCGATAGACTGTGGAGTGTTTCCGTACAAGTGGTTTGTGACAAACGCTGTCTCCAGCTCCCTCCTGTACTCCAGAGTTAGGATCATTTCAGAACCACCACTGCTGCCTCTAAACTCCAACGAGAGTTGGTCCTTTTTCGAGTCCGGGTTTGCATCGCCATTTTCTTGTGCTCTTTCCCCACCTTCATCTGAAAGATTTCCACGATTATTGCTTTCTAAGACCAGATCCAAGTTTCTACCGCTGTCTGAGCTACCAGCTGGCTTGCTCTTTACACCGTCACTTGCGTCTACAAGAAGATTAGCTGATTCTTCTTTTTCGTTTTCATCTCTGTCATTTTCGCTGTGCCCTGTTGGAGGTTGACTTGGTATACAATCTTCGTGTATTTCAGCTTCTAATGTGATGATGTTTCGGATGAGCTGAATGCGATTCTTGCAAGCTGTCAGAACGAGACCTAGTAATCTCCGAGTTTCCTAACTGTGACATAGTAATCTCCGAGTTTCCTGACTGAGACCTAGTAATTTCTGAGTTTCCCTGCGAGTTTCCTGAGCGAGATCTAGTAATCCTCGAGAGTACAGAGCGGGAGGGGCTCAGCTTTGAGTTTCGAGTGTCGACAGAGTCTGGAGTAGGTCGACTGGACTGCCTCAGTCGCCGATGATCACTCCTTACTGACATCCCTCCCACCTGGAATACAGCAACAACGGAAGACAACAAACACGTTTCTTTCCACAAATTATTCATAGAAATGTCTACATGAATAATATTAATAATATGTGCGGCTTTTTCACATATTCACCTACATGTATGGTGGGAGTTTAAAAAAGCAGCTATATACAGCTATCTTATGCTGCTACATGCAAGTGGGCGTAGGCTCAAGTCTAGGCTTTAAGAGGTGTAGCTGTGTACAATAACCTTTTCGACAGACTTCCGCTACCATTTATTTTTTACCTGATTGGTAAATGTATCTTCTTCTATTTGATCATCGGCGAGGTTCTGACTCAGGACATACGGAGACCACAGAGGCGATGGGCTGCTCCCCGGATGAGGGAGGGGGCAAAAGGTACCATCTTCTCATTGATTGATTGAGCCCCGAGTGCTACTGTAGTACGGTGGAGACATGGGGATGTCGAGCGTTTGACTGCGAGTTACCAGACGAAGGGTAAGATGAGGCAAGGAATCACTCTGCGAGCTGTCGGTCTGGAGATTCCCAGCCTCCAAGTTGGAGTACGTGGTTCAGGTCAGACTTGTATGAGAATCATTAGTCACCAGTTGGTAGTACAATGAGTTTACGTCGATCTGTCAAGGACAGTAACACAAGATTTTACAATAGGCCGAGAGTTGACGAGGAAAAGAACCAAAGAATGAAACATTTCACGTAAACACAACTTCTTGCAAATTCTCTCAGTCCTAAGATTTCCCCACGACGGGTAGGGGGTGGTGTGGGAGCAGATGGTGGGGGGGGGGGGAATGGAAGGTAGGGGTGTGAAGCGTGGGAAGAGGGGGAAAGGGGGGGACAAACGCGATTGGGGGGGGAGAGGCGTCCCGTTGTTGAGGAAGTGGGGGGGTGTTGGGGGGGAAAGGTAGGGGGGGGTGGGGGGGGGGGGGGGGGCGGGGATAGGGGGGCGGTGGGGAGGGGGGAAGGAAGACGGGGGGCGAAGCGGGGGGGAAAGAAGAAGGGGCGAGGATAAAAAGAAGGGGGGAGGGGGGGGGAGGGGGGGGGAAGGTGTGTTGGGGAAGTTGGAAAAAAGGAGTGGGGGGTGCTGGTTTGGTGGTGTACTGAGTGTTAGTTTTGGGGGATGTTCTGCATTTAAATTTTGGGGGAATAAAATTAATAATCTGGTGTTTTGTTTTTAAATAATGTTATTTGTTTCGAAATTGTTCTTTCTTTTTTTTTTAATTTTTTTTTTAAATTATTTTTTTTAATTTTTTTTTTTTTTTTGTTACAAAATTCCAAGCTCTATAATCACTGGACTATGAAATAGTAGAGATAAGCTAAAAGACTAAAACACTTTAAACTGTCACACACGCATAGATTTTACTACCACATCTTTGAATATCTATAATTATAAAAACAAAAATTACACGTAATTATACCTATGCTCTTGCAAGCACACAGATTGCAGATCCAAGGGGGAACAGCTGACGTGTGTAAAGCCTTCGCTTTTTTGAACCTTCACATCGAGCTGTTTCAGCTGAAATTGATAAATAATTACACTGATAAAAGAAGTGTCATGAGTAGGAGGCTTACCATGAATGAGTAATTGCTGGATTAGTGCTGCATCTGTGGCACTCTAAAAATGTGTGGCGATGCCGACAAACATCAAATGTACATGGTTCAAAAGACATTAGCACCTTATGACAGCAACTTTGGCAAAGTGCTGGTAGCTGGCTGGGACAAGAGCACACATGAATAACCTGCAGTAGTACACAGTCACACATTCATTGTCTTATACACACTGCACTCTTTTTTGTGCACGGTCACGGACAGGTAGGTAGCGGCACGCACACGTTGCATGATGGCGTGCGTTTTGCACACTCCGCGTTCGCGCCGTCTGCATTATTTTCAAACTGCGCATGCGCAATTACACTTTTGCACACGGCTCTCTTCTGCACGCGCTACGTTGCACACGGGGAGGAAGACGCGGTGCGGCGACGCTCGCAAGCGCACACGCGCCCGGCTCGTTTGAATGGTCGTTGCGTCTAGCTCTGCACACGACGACCGAGTGACTGGGGATATAAAAGCCGTGCCTCCTCGCCACGTACATCTCAACAACCGAAGTTTTCGACAAACAACAAATCCAGTGACAGCTACTAGCTTCTCTTCTACTCACTTCAGCACCGAGAAAAAGAACCGAAATGGCCGATAAGGGACCCTGCAAAGTTGGTACGTTGCTATTACTTAGTCAACTGTCATCCATCCGCCCATACCCTCTCTTCTTTTGTATCTCTACTGACTAGCTGGTTGCAAGTGCGGAGCCGACTGTAAGTGCGGGGATTCGTGCAAGTGCGGACCAAAGTGCACCAAATGTGGTTCAAGTAAGTGCCTGAAAACATTGTATTAGGTACAGCAGGGCCATACACTTGTTTCACTCCCTGATCACCTATGTTTTTGCCACCTCACACGTACTGAATGTTCTCTCCTTCAGCCTGTTTAGTCTTTTCTCTCCCGCCCCAATAAGTCTGTAAACTTGAGTGTGTTCACTCCCTTAGTCAGTCCCAGTTTTGCCCCCTTACACCTATTTCGGACAGTGGCTATTCTCTCCTGCCCTACTAAGAGCCTGTTTAGTACTCCATTCACTCTTCTCTCTCTCTCTCTCCGCATTAGAAGACGGCCAGTGTGGCCCACACGCGCGTGTCCCGCAGACTGCAAGGCTGAGAGCTGCTGATGTGCACCTGCAGGGATGTGCAAAAGAACAGTGCGAGTGCGAGACAGTGCCGCTGCGCCCGCAGACTGCTGCTTCAAGGCCTGTGCAAAGGCTCCTAAGACTCTAACTCTGCTGTATACATGTCAGCATGTCTCTTCAGTGCTTATGTGTTAATGTTATGTGCTTGAAATAGTTTTGTCACTTGCTGCATACTGTTAATTACAGTACTTACTTCTGGTGAGTCACTCTTCACAACTGTGCATGGTAATTCAGCATGAAAGGCATGTGCATGTACTAACATATATAATACCAAGTGGAAAAAATCATTTCTCAAAAAGGAAAGGGGATATAGGTGGCTGTAAGCCAGCAGCCAAAGGATGAAGACCCAAGGGTCATTACACAGCAAAAATGCACAAAAGCTACAGGACACCATCCCTCGATACGTTGTCCAGATATAAACGTTACTTCAAGGTTAAACTGTTGCAGAGTGGAAATGACGGAGACGGCAAGCGCGGCTCTTCCCTTCCAATTAGGGAGAAAAATGTCAGCAGGCGAGATGGTTGTGAACAATAAACACAAAGATATAGGGATGTGTCATGTAGAAACTTTGTGCATTTTTGCGTGTAATGACCCTTGTGTCTTCTCTTTGGTGCTTCAAAGCCATCCCTATATCTTCATTTTGAAGAATGATTTTCCACTGTTTCCACTATTTTGTTTTTTCACCACGCCTTATGACAACACTGCCTTTTCAGTCACTCTGATGTTCATGGTGTTGTAGACGATAACTGTTGAGAGCAAGCTAAGGCTGCTCCTACATGAAGCAGGGTGTGATGTGTAGTGTCTCCACACAAAGGGATGTGCATTAGATTGTGGCACATATGGTGGGTGGTTTCATAGCCGAAGTCTTCAGTATCAGACTCTAACTGATAGCTATAACCTGGCGGACAAAAATGAAGGCGCCTGCTGGCAGGCACGCGTAACACGCGCAGCATTGCGCGAAAAGGGGAGAAGAGGGAAATCACCCTCTTTTTCTTTAACGTTCTCACATCAACAGCAAAACGCAAGCTAGCCAGTATACAAATGTGCACCCTGACTTACTAGAAGGCACCGAAGGATGAGAAGTAGTTTCGTCTGAAGGTGCATCCAGTCCGGCTTAGTCTCGTGCGTGGACCGAGGTTTACGAGACAAAATAATGCGCGCCGCGCCGCATTGGACGCCTCCCTCGGCGCATGCGGCTCACGGATGGGACTCCGGGAGACTAACAAAGGGAGAAACTTGGGACGTGACGACGAGGAAGCGATACGTCTCTGTCTTCTTTGTTTTCTGCCTTTCCTAAACGATCTACCGTAGTGACTTGCGGCAAGAAAAGAAACGATCGCTTGATATGCATGCACACCCTCCGGCAATTCGGAGATTTCGTCTGTGAAAAAATCAACGCTTCAGTGCTTCCGGTAGGAGAAGCAGGTAAGAAGAAGAAGAAGAAGAATATGATGACACCAAAATCGTGAAATCGCGTATGAGCGAATTCTCGCGTGGACACTAAGTGCGTATGAGGTCTTGGGGGACATGTATAGGTAGATAATGGACCCGTAGACTATTGCAGTATGTTTTGAAGGCCTAGGGAGTGATTCTCACCGAGATTTTAGTGTTTTGTACGCGGATCACGTGAGATTTCACCCGTGTCGTCCCTATATAGAGAGTCTACCGACTCTCTGATACATAGGGGTACATACTCAAAAGAAACAAGCCCTTAGTAATGGTACACCATAATCATAGTGCACTAGCTGTAGGCCTGCGTCGATTATTCCGGAATAATTTCGGGAATAATAGGTCCTCTGGGAATAAGAATATTCCAGATAATAGTTGAAAGTTGCGACGAGCGGGGCAACGGCGGCAACTCGGAACTCGCGGAAGGCGAAGTGTAGTGCCGAGTGGACGCGCGTCATGTTGCAGTACAATGATCGTGATGTTTATTTATGTGCCTGCTCTGTAGTACTGTTTTTTTTCATTTTTGAAGCAGAATAAGAATTGTTGGGATACAGAGTATCAGTAGTGGATCATAGTGGTCTGCACATACACCTACACCTCACCCAACTTTTTCTATCCTACTACATCTATCATACTACACAACATCTGCTGTTTTCAGATTGTCTGACCAAAAAATACTCCCTGTGGCTTATGTATTTGTGAGTATATTATTATATAAACAGAGAGGAAAAGGGAGGGAGGGAGAGGGAAAGATGGGGGAGAATTGCTTTAGGTTAAACTGTATATGTTCGTACAACCGGCAAATTGAAGTCCCAGAGAGGTTTCAGATTGTATTTTTAAAAATACACAAACAACAAACTCACGAGGTCTTTGATGTTGGCTTTGATGATGACGTAAATCCAGAGATCAAGGAAAGCGTCGCCGTCGATGGAGCTTTCTCCAATGTCGCCCAGCCTGTCGTAGAGGGCCTTGGCAGCCCCCACTACACTGTACATCTTGTCAGTCGGTGTTGAGGAGAAATACGACGCTCTGTGTAATGTACAGTACATGTGTACATAGATGTACCATAAATAAAAGGCATTTATTTGTGAGTGAACAAGAAAGCGAAACTTCAGAGTATTAGGTGCAAACATTACGGTATGAGAAATCCCGTCTACACAAGAAAAATGACAGAATTCAGACGACTATGTGCACTTTGCTCGCTAGTAACCCGATATAATGGTTACATGCATTACGCCATAACAGCATTCAGGAGAAGGTACAGGTTTGCAAAATACAGGGAACAATGTGATTCCTACCAGCTGATAGCTATAAGTTGTTAGAGTGCTTGCCTAGAAAGCAGAGTGTCGTGGGTTCGAATCCCACCTAGGGCAACTGCTTCTTTTTCCAAGAAAGATCTATCCTGGGTGTAGTTGACTGTTTGCTTTGCCTTGCCTTTCTACCTCGCTACCTAGTTGTTGACACATTACCTAAGTTGAGTGATGGCCTCAATGAAAGGGACGGGCTCGTTACTGCGGAGACATGGCCTGACTCGTAACTGGTCCTGTGTCACGCCAGAGAATTCCAGGCATTTGCTGGACACCAGCTCGTCTCTCTCTGTTTGGGCCACTCTTCGGATGATGAGGGGCTTTATTTGGGGCATCACACAGTGCTCCACTGCATTCTGTGGTGGAATAAAACACACTTACTCCCAATGAGTACTATGTTACCAACACTTACTGTAATGCACTATGAGTATCTTGGAGCCTTAGTATTTAATACTCTGAGAGAACGAAATACATTGGCACATAAAACTACTTACTATCCCTGCCACCGCTTACGCTTACATTACTTTTGAACATAGCATTCGGTTTGACAGTACTAAGTTTTGCAGAATTCGTCCCATACCAGTACACCCTCCTAAAACATGGACTTAATGTGTGTACAGAGGAAGAAACGTTTATGCTGTAGCTCAAGCACTCACATAGACTAGTTCATAAGAGATGTCTTCTCGTTGCCAGTTCTTCTGCTTCTGTACAATGTAACTGCAGAGAACACCCATGAACTCTTGGTACCTATCTCTGTGGACTCCTATTGCTGGAGGTAAGGGGTGGGGAGGAAGAGGGAGGGAGGGAAGGAGGGTAATGGGGAGGGAGGAGAGGGAAGGGAGGAAGTAGGGAAGGGGAAAAAGATGCGGAGGGAAGAGGGAGGAAGAGCGGAGACGGGAGAGAGTGCGAGAGTGAGGCTAGGTTCACAATATGTCGCTTCGCCCTGTCGCGCCATGCCGAAGCAGTGTACAATTGGCTCAAAGCAAATATTACTATTCCATACTCTAGCTATAGTGAAACTCTCGTGGATGGTTGGTTTGTCTTTCCTGCAACTCACGTTCTTTCAAAAAATGCAAAATCGTTAAAACCCTTGGGAAGGGGAGAAGAGACGTAAGGCGAGATAAGAATATGGCATCAGGGATAGGCAAGATAGGGGACAGGGCAAGCGAGAGAGTGTTAATAGTACACTCTAAGGGAAGGTGGTGTCTGCAAACATGAAAAGGCTGCAGATGTGCATGTTGTATGTATAATTATAAACATACGTTGATTGTTGTCACTGCTCTCGGCATGTTGAAAGCACTCGGCTACATACTCTTGTACTTTCTGTGACTCCAGTGTTGTTTTTTCGCCTGCAACAACATTCATTTAACATTACTGTATATACATATATACACATGTGCATTATATGCACGCACATAAACCACGTGCACCATGTTTATGCATGCGGAATGTGTAAAGGGTGCAAACATGCCATTCTCACTAACAAAGTACAGTTGAATTTCTTTTTTTTCTTCCTTGTGGTGAAAAAAAACTGCAATTGGGTGAATTTCTAAATACACAGTGAATAGTTGTTCTACTTTTTTTAGCAGCGACTTTAAATTTGAAAGCACTGGACAAGTGGCCTTTAAAAAGTCCAAAATGCACTGACGCAACTAAAGAAAAAAAGCACCCCACTGGACAAGTGGCCTTTAAAAAGTTCAAAATGCACTGACGCAACTAAAAAAAAAGCACTCCACTGGACAAGTGGCCAACACGACCAGTGGAGGGGGTCAACTCAGTATTGTCAAACAGAGAGTGGGTAAGGGGAGGAACCAGAGCTGTTCCCAGCCAGTGCTCTGGACCACCTACCAGCTTCCAGCCCGGGATCGATCTCTCGACCACCGGACCTTTATACTGGTAGTCCCACTTCTACTGATTGCGCCACATGAGTGACCCGAGGAAAGAAGTTGAAATTCTGCATTTATACCCATCCATCAGTGAGGTTGAAAAAAAAGAAGCATTTGCAAGGCTCGAACCGAGGTAGGCAGCACACTGCAAGTAACACATGTTAAGCCATTGCACCATCACTCTATGGGAGCACTGAGGTGTTACAACTGAATTTTCATGGCAAGTTTGTGGCACATCATTCTTGTGGTTTCCACACCTCAGAAAAATGATTATGCTGTGGTGTTCCCTCCCCCCATGAAAAAACCCTGTGCACATAAAGTACATGGCAAGCCCTGCATTAATACTTGATTGTAATACACACTATGTATGTACGTACCTCTGGGGTTGAGAAGTTCGTGGATGTATGTGTGTGTGGTGCGACTGGAGTATGACTGATGTTGGAGTCTCGACAACAACTCTTGCGCTTGACTAATACTGCTGTGTGCCAACTGACTGGCTGTAAGAAAGGAAAAAGGAGGAAAGGGCAGAGAGAAAGAAAACGTAAAAAGACAAAAAGGTTCAAAAACACACACACGACCCCTATAATTCAAACACCAGACAAAGAGAGGAAAGTAAAAAATAATAGTGAGGTGTCCTTATTCAGCGGGTAAATATAATGCACACAAGAACTGTTTTGAGGAGAGAAAAAGAGAAGTGTCCTCGTTGTTGTCATCGTTGAATTTTAAAAAACTACAACTATTGCCACTATCGTAGTAAACCTCACCAACTGTGTCAGCGTCACTTTCCCCATCTCTTGTCTGTTTAACCCTTTCTGCTTCTGTTTCATTTCAAATTTAACCCTTTCCAGCTCGTACAGCTGTGAGTTAAACTCGAAAAGCTGCTGATTGCTCTCCAGCCATTCCTCGTAGCGAGAGAACGACAGTTCGGCGGGTGTGGTCTGACGGGGATTGTCGCTAACGAGTGGGGACAACCTCGCCAGAATGTCGTTCACGTATGCTAGTTTTATCTGGAGAGCCTTGATGAGGATGTCGGTTGCTGTGGCAACCAGTGACCCAACCTGAAGGAAGGAGAGAGAAGTACATATATAAGTTGGTCCGGCATGTAGGCAATGTTCTGCAATCTGATTGGATACAGTAACACACCATGGGTTGATACGAGATGAACTCCTCGTGATCCACAATTGGGTTTGACCTCACTTAAGATTCATCACACACTCACCTCCCCGTGGTAGAGTCCATGTTTGTCATCAAGAGTAGCTCCGCCCCCTCCCGATCCTGGCTGAGTGGGCGTGGCCACTTCTTCCACTACCACAAATGCGCGGGTGTCGAGGCTCTCTCTATTAGCCTGTAATTGTCGGAGTTTCCCCTCCAGTTGCTGGAGGACGGCCAGGAACTGTTGCTGGGTCTTTTTGACAGATGCACGACTCATGACTGGCTGGCTCAGTAATACATCAGAAGCTATGGACATACAGTAATATTATACTTACTATCTATGGACATATTGAAAGAGTGTTTAGAACCGTCCCTCGTGGGTAAAGACAGGATAAAAGGTAATGTTGTGTTTGAAGCTGTAGGAGGCAATGACGTAGCTTGAATGCCTATGAATGTCCTAATACAACTGGAGAGCAACGTTATGAAACATTGTAGCAGCAAATGGATAGTACTAGGTGTCATAAACCTTTGCATACAGCGTGTGCACCATCAGTGCTGTTTTACTATGTTCGTGTAGGTATACACTACAGCTACTTCGTATGCAGTGCCTAAATGGAAGCAAGCTTACTGTTGATCTTTGTCTGAACGGCAGCACAGGGTGATCGCCTTTGCCCTAGATCTGCTCTCGACGTAGAGCAGAATATAGTCCTTCTCTCTAGAGATCTACGTCTTTTAAACCACCAACTGGTCTGACAGACGGTCACGACGATGCAAGCTTGTCGTATGTCACTAGTTGCGCCACGCCCACTCCACAATTTGTAGCCCCGCCTAAAATGCGCATGCGCAAACCGACCAGCTTACAACGTTGTATTTCACAACGATAAAAACAAGGTCCACAATACATGGGTGGTCAGTATTGTTATTGCTGGTGGTATACTATAGTGTTAGGTGTTAGTTGACGATTGAACAAATCCATGTAGTAAGTGGCTCCATTGTAGGCTGCCACCATCAACATGATTGCAATGAGAACAACACTGAACGTCGGACTGCAGAAAATTAGGAGAGAATATAAATATGAACACTGAAAATACATTAACAAGTAAAACTGCATAACCCCCACAAATGTGCACAAGAAACAATATGGAGGGGCAACTTTGGGTAGGTACTATAGAGGTATACATAATTATGTATACTATCGAGCTGACTGGAATGTAAAGGCACGCTTCCTTTCTGAAGATGTTTGGGTTTATGTCTTAGCTAGGCTTCGCCCCATACAAAAATACATCAGTGTATTGAATTACCTCTGAATAAAGGACATCTGTCCCCTCAGAGGTTTTACTGTGTATAACGCAATGTGGTATTTCACATGGACCAGTTAAGGTCACACCCTGCAAAGGTCCTCTTTATTCACGCTATATATATACCACTACTTTTGAACTTGAATGCATATTTCAAGGTGAGTGGGAAGACTTTTGTCAGAAAACAGCCGACATAGCCCACATACTAGTGAAAGGAAGGGTATCCAATGAGGAGGGATCCAATAGTGTAGACAAAGTGCCAGGCCATGTAGAGCAGTTTGCAGTAGCGAGGACCTAGTGCAGAGCACATGGAGTACAGCATCCCCCTCTTGTTGTTGGTCTCCTCCGCTAGGTACAGGTAGGCCGTGTTGTAGGACCTCTCTCTGATCCTCTCCTTCCTCCAGAAAAATATCTACGTACAGTGTATATACAACATCTGAAGCAAACTTGCTTCATTGAGATGGACAAGGCACACTTCTGCTAAACACTTGTACTCAGAAAGTATTTAACCGTTCACTGTTAGGACTAGAATATCGACTTGGACACTAAACTCCACACCCAGACAAGAGACACAATGGCCGACTATTGATGGTATAGCTATACTACAAAACAAAAATCTCTTTTTAGAGGTAAAGCTACAGCTCAGTGCTAACTAAGTACTCTATATAGGATGATTAATAACAGAAGCCGGTTCTCTTCTCTTTTCCTATGGCCTGTGTGCCCTATCATCTTTCTTGACTCCTTACAACATGCAGGAAAAGTCACTCAGCAGATTTCTATGGGAAATTTGAGAGCACTGGTATATACATAGTGTGGTTACCATACAAATTAACTGTCTATATAAAATCGGAAGTGTACATAAAATTATGCTAGGAATTTACTTACCACTACAATGTAGGTAGCCTGCCAAATAAGGTATGCTAGCATTGGATGATACAGTCTCTCATTCACTCCAATATGATCACAGCCATGTGGGCCTGGGGCAGTGGGGTTCTCACAGAGGGGAAATCCCTGTTCGTTAGTAGAAAACCTTTGGTAGAACAATGTTTATAGATTATAGAGTCCACTACAAAGGTATGTAGCTAAGTAAAGCTAATCATAGAAGTATGAGTAATGATGACTTGGGTAGCTATTCTAGAATTGGGTTTGTAATGTTATGTAGCTGAGAAAATCAAAGTGGCAAGAACTCCTAAAGTGATAATTATGTCACCTGTGTAGAGTGAAAAGATAGAGACCTAGGAATGCAGTGAGGAGGTAACCTGACAATCAAATTCATTCCAGTGTCCCTGGTGTGGTTGATAAGTAGTCATACGTGGTATACTCCGTCAAGCTGTCATTACGCAATGATCTTACGTGAGACAGAGAAACAGAGTTTGTACAACTCCTCATTAAATAGCCTATAGAGACCGTTCTCTTTTCGGTCACTCAAACAGTGCTCCATGCCATTTTATTTGATTAGCTACGTACACGAGTGTTTAATTCTCCATTCAATGAGTTAAGTTCAAAAGACATTTTTAGAATAGCTATACAGTAGTAGGATCAGACCAAGCATTGTAACGGTACTAGTACACAAAAGAAAACAAGGGTTCCATTATATTTAATTCGTGCTCAAACAGCCACTTCTTACCATCTGATTCCCCAGAGTGTCACAGCAGGTGAGACGTGGACAAACACGTTTGTCATCTTGTCTGTGGAGTGAGGCACAAGGGAGTTTCTCCAGAGTACCACAGAGCCTAGCAGTGGTCCGTGGCTAAATCCAAACACAATCGGAAAGAGTGCCCCTCGAAATGAGTCAGAGAAAGGTCCCCATAGATAGAGGAAGGTCAAGAGCTTCGCAAAGTAGCAAAAGTCAAAGAGAAAGTAGTGGTTGCTTCCCTTCTTGTAGTAACGATACCGCAAGCTCAGGAGAACGACAGATTCCTACATGGATGAAGAGATGAACAATGTATATTGATTCATATGAAGTTTGTTTATGAGTCTTGATAGGCAATGATCACTGGTAGTAACATAAGAAGGAAATGGGAAAGACAAGCTTTTGTCTATTAGTTGAGATAGTGGTCACTAAGTTTGGGCTGACTCAACAGGGTCGGTTCCTCAGTTCTCTTCTACAGTATGTAAGTCTGGGACTAAACATCTAAAGAGACTAACTATAATTATATGAAGGTGATAGAATAAATGATTGACATTTTTCAGGGAGTTTTAATAGTTGGCGTGGGGCTTAAGTTTCTTACTACAACTAGCTATATGTGAATGCCATGCTACTAAGTCATTTTCACACGACAAGGTAATAAACTTACAACAGAGTGAAAGATGTAGTAATAGTTAGGATATGACCCAGCCAGAAACCCGCTGGCTACCAGGCCAAAAGTGAATATCTGAAAGAGAAAATAGTTTGGGATGTACGTAATACTACACCTGTATATACTGTAACCAGTTGATGATCTACACTTTTATACAATGAAAACACGCTGGCTACTAGACTGAACGAATAATAGCTTGACTACGTTCAGTATAGTCATAAGCTAAACGTATTGGAGTTATAATATGCACCTTGAAAGATACTAATACGATATGCATGTCTATAATGTTTGTACCTAGTGTGCCCAAATGTAATATGGGGTTATATACTGTGAAAGTTATCTTGTCTGTTGTACTGCCCGGGGTAGTATGGCTCTTATAACATACGTCACCGTTGACCGCAGTTCCATTATCGAGTCGGAGACGACTCCTAAGATCATCTACGAGGGCAAGAATATCGTAGTAAACAATACATTCGAGTGTAGGTTCACAGAAGATAGACACCTGAATTTTCCATCCTCAGATGCTATCATCTCGCTGGGAAGCAGCAAAGAGCCCCTTGATACAAACCCATCTTTATCGACGGTCTAATAACCTGCCACAACATCCCATGAAGATTTACACCCCGCGCCCAAATTATAGGCGTGCCATACGCACGCGCCTGATCGAACATGCGTGTGTAACGTAGCTAATCGCGCATGCGTGTATACCGCGGGAGCGCACTAGACGCATCCCGCCTGTTAATGAGCATGTGCACGAAGTGTGTAAAGCTGCATAACAGTAGCTCTTGCTAGCCAGCTCTTCTTCTCTTCCGTCGCGCTGAAACGTAATGCAGGAGAACAGAAGCCCGCCACCGGACCATGTTACGACTGCTGCTGGAAACAGTACTGCAGAATTCGAGGACGCGGGTATGTCCAGGCGCCAGCTGGACCTCGTGCTGTCTTTACCGTATTTACTCCACCATGTTATAGATGGATACCTGGACTTGGACACGGTTCAGCTGCTGGATGGAGACTTTCAGCTCATTTCTCGCATCCGCAAACTCTCAGACACCACCAAAGACAAGCTAGTCTTCACCGTAAGTAGTGAAATTATAGTATGTACTATGTGCAGGAAAAGTAGAGTAATTTTCACTCCTTCATATATACAAAAAAACGTGAAGATGATAACTGGAGCAGAAGAAGTCATCATGTTATTCGCTTGGCTGACTGCTTACTAAGCTCATTAACCTCTACTGTACTACATACTTAACATGCGTGACAGTATATAGCAACAGTAGGTATTTTAATTAAGGCAAGTATCTAATTCTTCTGGGACTGCATGCATAAGAACACTTGAGTAAACATGAGTGATGCATTATTTAGCTACTATAATAATATTATGTAGCCAATCATCCCACCCATATACACTGAACTCACATCAGGTATCAAGACCTTACTACTGTTGGTATGTCATGAAGGAAGCTATCATGTTTGCACACATTGATTTGTCACTTGTAGGGTATTAATGTACTATGTTGCTAATACATATAATCCCCATGGCCGACATGACCGTGGGATACTTTTTTTCAGATATTCTCCATTGACACCATGATGACTGCCTTTCTTGCTGGTTACATACCACAGGACTTTTACATCTTCTACTCCTTAGTAAGTTGTGTAGTAGCAACAGATTTGGGGCATGGACTGCAAGAATAGTCTCACGTCTCGCAGCCAGCCCCTCTATAAACAATAGAGAGGCTGGCTCCATGAGAGTGCTGCAAGAAATTTGCACACAATTATTACAATGATGACGACCGATTAATATCACTTAAAATCTGTGCCCGTCTGATTGCCCAAAGCTATAGTTGTTAATTTGAGTCACAATGATTCCCAGCTTGCTTTTAACTTTCTACTTTCCTACACATTTACGTTTTGTTATTTTTCTCTTTCCCCATTCTACACTTCAAAGAAAGCTGTACTGCTGCTGAGCTACCGCTGGTACTCTTACAAGAAGTTAAAGTACCACTACTTTCTCTTTGACTTCTGTTACTTCACCACACTTCTCATCTTTCTCTACCTGTGGTTACCATGGGGTCACCTGTACAAGGGATATATTTTCCCGTCAATATTCGGATTTAGCAACGGACCACTGCTTGCTGCAGTCATGCTGTGGAAGAATTCACTTGTCCCGCATTCAGTTGACAAGATGACGTCAGTATTTATACACGTATCACCTTCTATTACCCTCTGGGGGATCAGATGGTACGTGTGTATTGTCATAATAAAGTAATATTTTGTGTATAGTGTGGTTGGCGTGCACTACATAATGTTGTTGCTTTCTTTGCTCCTCCCTCTCTCAACCACTTACGGTTGCTTACTAATTGGTTGAAAAATCATGAAGAAAACTGATTGATTTGTGGGTTTTTTCTCTCAGGGAAGTTCTTGTGCCATTAATCAAGACAAATTCTCTATATATCCAGCTAGCGGATTGTTTAATGGAAATGTGTCAAAAGTTTGTTGTTGAACCTGCTATTTAGCTTAGCATGTGTGTAGAGAAGTGACGAAAACGGCTAAGTCAAAACAATGCTTGTGGTTTGATAACACTTATGAAGCAACTGCCACACACAACTTCATGCTCTCACAGCATTGTTTGAAAGTAAAGTGTGTAGTCGTGATTTATTCCACCATTACACATCCAAGAAAAATATAGACATAATATATGCACTGCCTGTGAATACGTGCACTACAGACCACTGCCTGTGAATACATGCAGGCACTCGACTGAAGACCAAGGCTTTCCTCTCTGTGCAGAGCCAAGTGGCCCAGGACCCAGCGGATGTGACAACATCACTGCATCAGAGCTCATTTACTACCCAATGCTCATGTACCTTGTCTGGCAGACTGGCTACATTCTAGTGGTACAACGTGAAATTTCATAGTGATTATAAGGCATAACGCCCTGGATATCCCAATCACAGAAAATAACATTTCTGAGCTACTTACACACAACATCTATTAAGTCACTTACGAACATTGCATCCAGGAGTGTTTGGCAAGTGTGAAGTGAGCCTACCTAGTTATCCCCGGTTTGCATTTGATATCGATGATGGGCAGTTTCGAAATCATTAGGTGATTTCGTGTTTGCTCACTTAAATATTGTTGCATTCATTCTAATGTATCGATGCTACTACTGTTGTTGTAAGAGGGTATTCCCCTGCTGTTGTATGACATCAGGTGTTCATGTGGAGAAATGAGAAGGTGGAGAGAAAAAGCTACGAGACCAGCTACCGATGGATGATCAACAAGTCTAAGAAGTTGTTTCTCCACAAATGGTGTATGGCTCTGGGTCCCCGCTATAGCAAACATCTGTTTGTGACCTACCAGTTCATCTATACCATGGTCTCCATGCTGCTGGCCTACTTCTGTTTCCACTAGTAAGAAAACCCTTGTGACGTTTTAGTTTAGCAAAAGCTGACTGTAGACATAGAGGGATTTTTCTTCCTCCTTTGAGCACAAGTCAACCCAAGCTTTCCCTCAACCATCAATGTAATGCAATGAGCCCTATTTGGGGAGAGTATCTCTTTTAATGGGAGACTTTTACCTTCATATCTAGCAGGTTCTGCTTATTAAAGTCCACTTTTCGTAAGGTTGTGCTACCATTGCGCACTGTTGCACAAGCATAATATATATATATAGCTTGGTGCCGTATTTTTTTTAATAGTTGTTGCCAGGTAAATTAGACTGTCATTTTCATCTGACACTCTTTTAGAAAAATTGAGTTAGATCTTTAATCTTTTATTTTGTTCCCAGTCACTATGCCAATGTGTTCTGGTGGTGATAGTTCTCACAGTTGCCTCATACAATGGAGCATCATTCTACATCGACGTCTTCAGTCGGCGATACATTAGTGACTCTACCAACAGCAAACATAAGAATACATAAGTGCTATTGGGCTTAGTTCCTCTCATGATGCTAATTATTTAACCATTACAGCAGTATTAGCTACTGTGTTCCCTTTCAGTAATGCAAAAATGCCTAGGGCAGCTCTCATTTCCTATAAAGGTGTAGCTCATTAACCCTCGGCGCGCATGCGCAGCAAGGGTTACAGTACTTGGTGTGTGTGTCTGTCTGTCTGTCTGTCTGTCTGTATGTATATCTGTTACCACCTTTTCTGCCATCGTGGTTGGTGCGTACTTGTGATTGTGCAGTGTGTGTCATAGAGTGTCGAAGAGTGGAATTAGTTTTTGAAAGGGCATGTATAGCTACCCCTGGTCCCCCTGTTTCCGCCTCCTATGGCAACAATGCATTTCATAGTAATTACAACAATAGTACACAATAATGATTCCATTGTTCTTACTCATTATGACAAAGTAACCATCAGTTCTACGTAGGTGCTCAATTTCTCTTTGCTTTATTGGCAGCCCTGATCCCCACAGCAACTCCACCTGCAGTTCCAACTGTAGCTCCCCCAACTGCACCACTCTTCCTCAAACCCTGGTATAAACCCAACTGCTCCCCCAGCTATATTCCTCTAGCTGCCCTTGCCACTGCACAACCCAAACCACCGAAGACTGCATGAAAGACTCCCTTGTACGGCGTGCGTGGTAGCTCTCTTGCTCTTCGAACAATCTGTTTCCACTGTAGGGACTATGATAGTTCGAAATTCTGATTTGGTTGGGTCAATAGATCTTAATCTCTTCAACAACACATGTGTCAAGCTTGTGGATGACACGCACATGATTTACGTCGACAACATCCACAACTAGAAGATGGTCTTTGTAGGTAGTACTGCGTTCCTCACGGATGTGGTCTCCGGATTTCAGCTCTACGAGAGACTGAATTTCTCCGAGGGTGCTCCCTGTCGGTGTCTCCTTCTGTGGGGTGCTGTCTTCAGCAGCTACATCCCCAGCACATCTCTTTACCAAACCTCTAGCATTAGTCACAAACTGTTCGTCGTTGCTGTATAGTGGTCGAAGGGGGTATCGAAGCTTGCCCGAGCGTTCTCTAAACTTCGCGTGGAGTAAAACTTCTTGTTCTTTGACTCCTCTCTCCGTCATGTGTATCACTTGAACACTTTTACCACCATGTGATGGCCGTTATCTGCCCTCGGAAGATGAGGAACTCCAGGAAGAACTGGAACGACTGGTTCCTTGAGACGAGCTTGAAGCGAAGGCCAGATCAAAATCCGCGGCCGTGATACATTGTCAACCATAATGTGCTCTCCTGTTCTCCTGTCATAGAGCGCGTTGCATGCATGAAATTATAGTTCATAGCATACCAGCCATAGGTATATAGATAGATAGATAGATAGATAGATAGAGAAATAAATAAAAACCACCACCACCATATTTACAAACCCCAAAATATCCACACAAAACACATACACAAATACACATGACATGACATGATAGTAGGACACTGGGTGCCCAGCCTTGAGAACCGGGACGGTGGGTTAAAGAGTCTTTTATGGCTAGCCAACTCTCCCCACACACCAGCATCCAAAACTCCACATCACAAACATGACAGCCACACAGTGAGTAACTGTACGATAGTACAGTCACGACAACACATGTAGAGTACGATACATATAAATATAAATATATAATAATCATACACAAACACAGATGGTAGAAAAAGAATTGGTAGCATGTAGAAAATAGAAAAATAGAATCTAGCTTACTTACATGGACGTAAAAAACAAGGTAGAATGACTCACTTGTAGCATGACTCACTTGTAGCAGTAAACACACGGTAGAAAAACATAGAATGACTTACTTGTAGCGGTAAAAACGTGGTAGAAAAATGGAATGAAATGACTTACGCAGTAAAAACGTGGTGCACTATCGTGGTTCCTATTAGTGCCCCCCCACGTAGTGTATATACATAGTAAAAATTATGCAGTAGTCAACGTGAAGCTTATGTCTGACAACTATGGGGTGGTATTCGTGTCAGTATTTCAAACGTCGATTTTGCCAAGGCATTTCCGTTTTTCCGCGGCAAAATAACTGCCGCGGCGATTGCCCCGGCGAAACCTGGGCCGAAAAATCCGGGACATTTGCCGCGGCAAGAATAACTAGCTGGGCCATGTTCAATCGTGTCAGTATTCTTGTCGTTGCCGGGCTTTTTGCCGCGGCAAAAGTGCTCTTGCCTCGGCAAATTGCCATTTTCCGCGGCAATTCACGAATGCAAAAGTATGCATGGCACGTAAAGTAGGCGGAGATAAAAGGACAAGGAAACTCTCCTTGTATGAGTTGCACATCAACATTGAAGCGAAATGGTAAAGGCAGAGCAAGCAACACACTACACCCAGAACAACTCCTTTTCTGACAGTATTTATCTACATCAATTACTGATTGGCATTGCATTAATGCATTACTGCATCACTTTCAGTAAACACCTTGGCCTGCCCATATAGGGAGCTGCCAAACACGAATGCGCAAAACACTCCGACTCGGAAGAAAACAGTGACGCAATACAATGGGGATAATTCATAGCCATAGCATAATCAACGATGACGCAATAGCAACTGGATATTCATAGAGCGCGCACAACTTTTGCCCCCCCAATAGGCTACTCTCCTTCACTGGAGGCTACAAAGGAAAAGAAGAAGACCCACATCTTTCCCAGAGCTACAACATCATGAAGACTCTCCATGTAAGTGCCGCGAAAGACTTATATAATTATACTAGTGGAAATGTTGAACATTGTTGGCGAGAGGGAGCGACCCAGCTTGGGAATTGTCAGCGATGTTCGGGCTGCATAAGGTGCCGTCAGAGAACAGCTTTCCTTTCGTGAAGCAAGACAGAGTTACCTGTCGCCGTACTGTATATTGCCAGAACGGTGAGCAGAACGGTCCTTACCTTACGCTTTCAGCTCGTCTGTCGTGGTCCACCAGGCAGCTGGCATGGCAGTAGGCTAGGCCAGCGGTCGATATGAGGCTGCCCGACAACGCGGCGTGTGTTGAGCCTGGTCCAACCACGGCAGCTGGCATCAGCAGTATGTGCACGAGCACTCCTAGCGGATTTGCAAGTTGCAGCTTGGAACCATGACGATTGGGAAGAGGTATATACAGCCTCGCAACTATAATATTCGCCACCTCGACGCAACATTGTCGTACGTGCGCCCGGATGGATCATGATCAGCGCCGGACCTCGTCTAGGGCTAGGGCTAACGCCACACCTGATCTGGTAGGAAGAACGGCACCGCGTAGGGGCGTGGTCATATCGGGGCCGGACCTCGTCTAGGACGCTTGCCTCCTGGATGGATCATGATCGAAGCTGGACCTCGTCTAGGGCTAGGACTAGGGCATCGATTGGTTGAGTCTGTCGATGCCCTAGCCCTAGCCCTAGACGAGGTCCGGCGCCAATCATCATCCATTCGGCCGTTACGCGCCCGTACGACAATGTTGCGTTGAGGTGGCGAATATTATAGTTTGATCCCCTCGGTCAGTCACCGAAGGTTGCAGCGCATGCCGTCGAATGGAGGAGAGTTCTCTAGCTGGCTAATCGGCGAGGCACTGTGTGAAAATGTGTAAAAATTTGGAAATAGTTTCGGATAAAAAGAAGCGCGTACAAAGCCGCGCATGCGCACTTACACGACGTACGACGGTCGTAGAAAATTCCTCTCGAACGAACGGCTCGCCGGTACTAAGCACTGGATACTGTGCCCAGTGAGGGGACTGACGTGGTGCAGGGGATAGCTTAGCCTGCTGCACCGCGAAAGCGAGCTAGCTAATGTGGTAGCTGTGTAAAACATCTTCATTGCATTGCATGACTACAAATGCAAATGAGGAGTGGGTGAAATAGTCGCAGGACCTCCATCAGTCCTGCCGTCCTTCAACACAGTGTTTATATTGTCATTACTACTTTCTTTACATCGTCCTTGTAGTTAGTGCTCACTGTGTTGTAAAGCCTATAATAATAATAATAATAATAATAATAATGTCACTACTGCGATGATATGATACGCTACCATAATTTCTTGTTATCCAGATGAAATGTGTTTTCGTGGTAACGGGATTTTGTCTAATAATTGTTTCAGGTAAGAGCACTGCATTTCATCTGCATTACTTGCTTGTTCGGTGTAGCTAAGGGGGCACAGGGGTACTCAAAGATGAATTGCATTCTAGTCTAAATTGATGCTAACTGGGAGCGAGTGTGGCGCATGCCTTTGTATACACTGCGTGAAAGCTCAGCAGTAGTATTATGATGACACTAAAATCTTGAACTCGCGTATGAGCGGATTCTCGCGTGCCAAACTGAAGCCATGTATGGATGCTTTGGGCTTGTGTATAGCTAGAGATGGGCCCGGGAGTTGTTGCTGGTGTGTTTAGAAGGCCTAGCTATGCGTTTTCTCTGTGTGTGGAGACGTTTTGTACGTGGATCACGTGAGATTTCACCCGCGCCACCCTACATAATATAGAGCGTCTACCGACGCTCTGATACGCTTATTGCCAAGGGCTTTGAGTCAATTTTATGTTTTTCATCTTCTCTCTAAGCACTGAACTTCGGATTAAAGGGAATGTCGAAGTAGATAAGGGCTATATTTAGAAGTGTTACTGTGGTAACCTGAACTCATTGTTGGTTACGTCACGTGCATAGTCACTTCCTGTGCATATATAAGTGTATGTCTCTACCGTCTGTGTGCAGATGATTGAGTGTGACCTGTTAGTAGTTGTTGTGTGTGGCCGCGGTCCCTTGTCACGAACCGTTCAGTTAGGCTAGCACATAACGAGTAAAAACGCATGCCCAGAGCGGTATCGTGCATGCGCAGTTCGCCGAGGGTTTGTACTTTAGTGCTTTTCATATTGTTTTAGGTAATGCTAGACTCATAGCTTTCCACCAGTTTAGCAACTTTTTGGAGTTTCAAGCTGATTCATGTCCAGGCAATAACTACCATGAAATTGTAATCCTCAATAATTGCACACATAACTCTTCACCTAACGGCAGGACCCGGTGCCCATTGAACATCAAGAAGGACCCAGCGGAGACCTGTATGCTATGCCCCAGAAGTCAAAGAAGAATAAGGGGAAGGAGGAGGAACTGATGGGGGAGAAAGCTTCCCTCTATTCTGTTCCTGACAAGAAGAGACAGAAAAGGAGTGGAGGGGTAAGTAAGGGGGCTCCTGTCTGAGCTATAAATGAATGCCACATCATGATTCAACACAGCTTTAACAATGTGGGTCTTCAGAAAACTGCATGGATTGTTTTCATAAAAGTCTATAACTTGGCAAAAACAGATTGCTAGGCTTTCAGCAAAAGTTGACGTAGCTACCAATATCTAATACATTATGCCAAGGACCTTGTGTGCCCTCTGTTTTCTTCACTCAATCCGCCCCTCTCCTTCGCTGGGATTAGTTACAAAGGACTTTCAGGAGATGATATCCCTATACATTTTTAGAGAAACGATTTTTTCAATAATTGAGGAGTTGAAAGCCTTTATCTGTACATTCCATACTCCCCTCCTCCAATGCCAGTAGCTCAACATAAAGCTCAAGGTAGTTTAATTGACTGTTGATCTTTTCCTGTCACAGTTGAATTATGCAGATATAGTGATCACCTCCACCTCCAACCCAGCCCCTCCGCTGTCTGGAGGATCCACTTACGCCGTTATAAACAAAAATGACTAAAAGTCACTGATTGACAAAGATGCTACATGACTATGCGATTTAATTGTGTAGTATTACATAGTGTCGTTTATGCATAAGAGTAGTTTTTGTTTATGAGCTAAAAAGTGTTTAATTTGTTACATGTACGTACATATAGACATGTATATAATAATTTGATTAATTTAATTAATTGATTGCTATGGGCCTGCTCTCAGTTTATGGGGGGTTGCAATCTCAAGTATGCGTAAGTCATACACAAAAACCCCATGAGAATGAACATCCTGATTCACGTAGTTTATCGAGATTCATTGATGTTGCCTGAGTCATGGTAGGAGCTATATACACGCATCACAGGGAAAGGACTGCTGCCAATGTCTTTGGGTGTTGTATTCAGATGAAAGAAAAATCCACTCACTCACTATACGAGGCAACAACTTGTTGCTCAAAACACGAGAAAGTTTGCCCTGTGTATGATTACAAGTTGCAGAGGCCTCTTGCACTGGTTTTTCAGCAATAATTAGGAAATAATGTTCTGTTTCTGAAAGTTTGTTGCTGCAAGTTGCCTTGTGTATGATATACAATGGACTTTAGAACACTCTGCTCAAACTAAGAGTAATGACACATTGACTCAGAAGATTGAGGCTGTACAATAATAATGGTAGCAGAAACGTTAGCAGTTCCATCTCAATCCATTTTTGTTTTACATTCATGTCAGGGTGTAATTGGCATGTGAAGTGAAATGAAAGTCATAGCTATCTGATGCTGTCACTATGAATACATGTGAAACTGCTGCAGCTCAGTTTCTTACTTTTTGCTAAAGGCTTTCTATAATACCACAAGTAGCTGTTTTTCAAGAGCTGTGGATAAATTAATAATTATTCTAACTTTGAATTTCAGCACCACCAAATATCTCCGATGTTTCTGTTGAGTTCAGTTGTGATGTCAACCTGAAGATTTCTGCACCAGTAACAATTGAATGGATGGTAAGAAAGTACATGTGTAACATGTTGAGAAAAGTCAACAGCAACCTCCCATTCCTTCAAACAGTATGGAGTTGTGGAGGAGGGAGTAGTATATCCAGGAGATGTGGAGGTGGTTCTGAAGCTCAACAATGGACCCATCATCTGCTCTGATGTGACGGATGCTAACATCAGCTGTACTGTGACACTCCCCAGAGATGTCTATAACATCTCTATCACTCAGTCCAATGACATTGGCTCTACTGTGGACAGTGCAAGTTTTGATAGTGAGTGTGTTCTATAAGTTAGCTACATCTTTATCAACCAATGATATCCCCCATAGTGGCAGTGCTAGTTGTATCAGAACAAATTTCCTTGATACTAAACACTCAATTGTTGTTTATCGTCACCGTGAGAAGAAATGGACTATGTCCAGAGACTAAGTCTCCAGTTCTAGTAACATTTGGAACCATTAGAAAAGTGGCTGGAGGAGAGTGTGAGATCCAGCAGAAATCATCTGAAATGACCATCTCTTCTGGAGACTCTGCCTCTTTCTATGGTGATGCTGCGCCTATCACCTTAGGCCCTGATGAGACAATCTGCTTTATAGTCAGCCTTGATGGAGTGCCTGGTACGTTTCACAGAAATGAGAAGTGTGTATTTGAGATTCAATGCTTCTTTCCCACAGTGATATCTGGCACTAGTTCAAGGAATGCATCTACAGCCATCACTATTAGTGGTAGTAGCGATCAAAGTATTGTTTCAGTTGATGCTGTTGCAGGTATTGCGGTGGCTCTCTCTCTGCTGGTGGTTCTGCCAGTGGGTGTGGTTTTTGGCTGCTGTGGAATGTGGTGTCTGATGAAGTCTCAAGGTAGAAAGAAGAGAAGAATGGCCCCACCACTGTACGAGGAGCCAGTAAAACCTGTTTTTTCTCTGACTGAGAACCAAGCATATGGACAGGTTGCACGTCGACAGACGACCAGCTGAATGTAACTTGCAACGGGAGCTGGAAAATTCAGTAGCTAATTTAAGTTAGCTGTGTGAATCATTCATGTATTATTATATACATAATTATTACTTAGCAATGACTTTTGATTTACTAATGTGCACGGTCACTTTCAGTCACGCATTCGGCTTTTTCAGCACGCATGCGCAATTCAGCCCAAATCGACACACCCCTTTCATCCCGCGCACGCGCGTTGTGGCGATCTTTCTTTCTGCCGTTTTACAGACCTACGCACAGCCTCTGTGCCTGCCTTTAATCCTGCTCTGACATTTACGACATGTCTCACTCAATCCGGACCTTTTAGCTTTTTTCTGAAAGGGTAGATGAAAGCAACAGTGAACATCAAGCTTCGACCGCCACATCCAAGTGCCGACTGACCACTTCTGAGATTGCGTGGGTGGTGTTTAGCCGCAATGCCGCCCGCCTACCTGTTCAAAGTTCACAATTGTTGTTGTTTCTAGAAGTGTGTAAATTTACATTTTGTGACCGAAAGCGTTATGCTGCGGCTAAGGATTGCGCATGCGCTCATGTTGTGCTATAATTATAATAATAATATGAACGCGTAGGTTGCTATGACGTAATGAGTTACCGCGCGCATCCCTGTGCGCCAAGTGCATGTGGCATACCGGATTCTCCCATTTATTGCCCAGAATTATGACCTGATCTCCCTTTAGCTATATAGCTAAGTTCATAGTAGCTATTTGGTTGTATCTGAGGAAGGGTCGCGCCGGTAGGCTGACCTAAAATTGGGTAGGTTCTTATGCATACTTGGCGGCATTATAACTGGTTATATACAAACTTGTTATTTTGTATTCAGCTCACGACGTCCCATAGTGTAGCGTGCGTGCGCGCAGTGAGCGGTTTGCGCGACGAGGATTCTCGCGGAGCTACCCCTTCCTTCCCGGGCACGCACGCGTGCGGAAGGCTTCACGTAGCGTGGGTATGGAGCGCCCTGCAGAGTCGCGCGGACCTTACGCCGGTGTTCGTCCGCGCCTACCGAACCCCCTCAGCCTATATACGGGAATGAGGGTGCTGTGCATAAACACAGCTCATTCCCACAACAGCAAGCTAACGGGTGACGCAACATCAACAATATTGTCAGTAGCGGCAGGTCGCTCATCTCGTGCCAGAGCGAATGAAGACTCTAGGTCCCTCTGTAAGTGTCTAAGACTGGTACGAAGTACGGGATACTGAACCCAGTGAAGGGACGAGGATAAAGGAGTTTTGTGAGCTGTATTATTATTATTATTATAGTAGCACGACCGGAATGTCTGTGTTAGTAAGAACCAGTACTGCGATGATACTGTGATGATACTTTGTTATTCGTGCAGGTGAAATGTGTTTTCGTTTTATTGGGTCTTTGTCAAACGATTGTTTCAGGTATGAATATTTCACTGTATTTCGAAATTTATATATGTCTGTCATAATCTTTGCCTGTTAAACACACCATAAGGGGGAGCATAGAACCACTCGGAGGATGAATTACAGTCTAGTCTAAGCTTATGCTGACCGTCTTCATCGTCAATGAGCGTGGCCTTGCATGGCACACGGCATTGTAGCTATACACCCCAAGCAAACTAGCGCAGTATTAGGGTATTAGACGCTTAGCGCCAAGTACAAATGTACTGCTTTAGGTGTATTAAAATGTAATACTGTATATTAGTGTATAATATTGAGTCATGTTGTTTGAAAAGGCTAAATGCTTCAAAGGAACTCTACCATGTTAGTTATGGATAACACAAGGTTGTTTACCCTAGGTTAATTTACAATTCTACGTTCTTTAGCTGCAACACAGGATGTTTCTGTGGTCAGGATTGAACCAGATCCCCTGCAGCAGTTGCCATGTCCACAGCAGAAGATAGAGTTCAGGTGCCAGATATTGGTACCATCATTTGTAATGCAATGGACCCTTCCAACCGGTGAAACTGTGGAGTTTGGTCAAGCAGAGAACATTGGAGCTGTTTATGTTTCATCTGATAATACATACAGCGCTACTCTAACAGACAGGACGGGGGATCCCAATAGTAACAATAGATTCTTCTTCACCTCAACTCTACTGGTGTTGGTGCCAGTAAATGGGTCAAACCTGACTTGTGTGGGACTCAGTGGAGCAGTTGCAGTCAAAGAGAGCACTTCAATAATTATCAGTGGTAAGAATTGTTGCAACAGATTTCTCCAACACATAACTTTGCCCAACCCCAGTTGTTTGCCTAAGGCCTAGCCCAGATCTCAGATCTCACCTGAATCACTTACAAAGGCACGCATCCAAATGTGGCAAGAATGCCTAATACTTATTAAAGGCTCAAAGCTTCCTTCCTCATGCAAAAAAAGCCTGGTTCATGTTTAGAATATTGTTTCAATCCCCCTACATAGGTAACCCAGACCCTCCCCATGACCTAAGCTATGACGATAGAGTTGTGATAGAGAGTTCAGTAGATCTCCAGTGGACCAGACCTTCCTATACTGGGGGAGGGGGAGTAGCTGTCATGAAGTACTCTGTCAGTGCGAATGGAATGAGGCTAGAGGTTGCAAATAGCAGTCGGATCGTCAGCTACACCACTTCTCATCTGGTCTATGGAGAGGTTCAGGTCTCAGCTATCAATACATGTGGCCAGGAAAGCCAGCCAGCAGCTATCAAGATACCTGCTAAAGGTAATTGTACTGCAAGTGTCAAATGCCATTGTTCTAATAAAACATGGACGCCAAGCGAAATTCTGTAATTCACACCCTTCCACGGAAAGGAGACATAAGGGTTTAATTAATGCCCACAGCGCAAATCCATGGAAAGGTTAGGATTTATGGTAAAGCGGTGAAAGAGAAGATATTTAGTGAAGTGGAGTGAAGGAAACAGAGGGAATCTCAGTATTTACACCACACATCGGTTAATGTCCGATTAAAAATGTCACCAAACACTGTTTTACGCTAACGGGACCCCATTTTAGCTATGTGCTAACATTTACGTAGTTAGACATGTAACAGGGTCAGCAATATTTCGAGCCCAGGCCCATTATTGTTGCCAACCATTGTAGCAACCAGAGGAGGTTGTGTACACGTCATCGCTTGCATCACGTGCACCTTAGAGTTGTATGCTCGCCCACGCAACCCAGTCAACCCCAGAACGGCACACTGGCATTTGCAAGTCTACGAGTGTTCTCCATGGTACAACATTTGGACATATAAACAATCGAGAGGTAGCAAGGTCTTGGCCCTCCTGAACACCAGCCAGAGCAACTTCCTTTCGCAGCTACGATACTTGATTACATTATAGCCGCATGTGCGGACAGCTTAGGAATGTTAATTGTGCGCAACCTTCTCTGGTTTATAGCAACCAAGATGCCAGCTAGATCAGAAAGTCTCCCATAGTGCACTACAATATAACTGTATGTCGTGGAGCTTGCACTGATCGAGCGATTGTGAAGGAAAAATTCAAAGAGTGAAATGCTGTGTTTTCCAAAAGCTTGGATAGTGATCTTGGTAGCTATAGGTGATTCCTTTTTGCCTTTTTTCATGATTTCTGCGGTGTCTGTCCATCCTCCTTTATTCCCATACACATTATGTTAAAGGATACTTCGTGAATGAGTGTGCGTATGTGTTTGTTCACATACAACTACCTACAATACAGAGACTAACTATAGAGAGAGAACAAACATTCAGTATACTGTGTTATTAACAAGCGATTCCTGTATTGCGAGCAAAGCAGCATTTCAATCACTGTAGCTATGCGAAGTTCACACATGCACATTGTCATGGCACAGGGTTGGTTTTATTATGTGGAAAAACGTGCAATTCAGAAGACTAAGTGGGCTCACTTCACGTTCACTCGCCAGTCTTACTAATGCACAGCAGGGGTACATACATGGGGGCTGCTACATGTAATCATATGTATTTATTTTTCTCTAAGTCTGGAGGCTGCTACATGTAATCATATATTTCTAAATCTGAAGGCTGTTATTATTTTTCAAGTCTGGAGGCTGTTAGCCACATGTAAATCGCATGTCTCTTTTCTAAGCTTTGGGGCTACTGTGTACATTATTTGCTGAGCATGATAGTTGGGGTGCCGTGTGTGTGGGGAGAGTTGACGTCATCAAAGATCTTTAACCCACCACCCCGGTTCTCAAGGCCGGGCATCTGGTGTCCCTCTCTTATGTACCTATATACAGTTAGTGTGTGTGTGTGTGTTTTCATGTGTTTTGTTGTGTGTGTTTCCGTGGATAGGGTGATTCTTTCTTTCTTTCTTACTCATACATATCTAGTTTGCTATACACTTATGATGTCATACAAAGATACTCGGAGGACAAGTGTCTGTCCAATAAAAATGATATCTTGCTGATGCAGCTAGCACAAGTTAATGAGCGATAGGCAGATGGAGCAGGCAAAGCACTACCCTCTAGCGGATATATTCCAAAACAAGTTACTAAGCAAAATATGACCAACCAAAGTGCTCTATATCGCTATTCTCCCCTCCCCGCACACGTGTTGTGGTGTCAAGGGTTCGACCGTAGTACTTATTATTCACTATGGTGTTTTTAATAACAACGTTCTGTGTATATACACGTCATGCGAATACACTCTTTTAGCACCACCACGGAGCCTAACATTGGAGTTCAGTTCACCTGTGAATCCTTGCCATGGACAATTGAGTTGACGGTGAGGATGCTTGTAGCTCTTAGTCTTTGTAAGCAGTTATCATTGCACGTGTCTATATATTATGGCTGTAGTATGGAAAGGAAGAAGGAGTGGTCTATCCTGATACGGATTTCATTCTGAGTCTCACTCCCACTGATGAGACTGCCAGTAGTCATATGTTCTCTTCCGGAGATCCTGCCTGTTCTGATGTCACCTCTGATAGCACCTACTGCAATGTGAATGTCCCCAGAGATGTCTACATAATCTCAGCTAATCTCACCAATGAAATTGGTTCAACTATGAACAGCAACCAATTTGACAGTGAGTTGTGTTATAGAATTTTGATAGCTATTAAAACGCAAATCTCTTCATGTCATTGCTTCTACAGCACGGGCTGTTATTGTGACAAATGAAATATTAGAGGATGGCGAGCCATTAAGTTTGACAGTGACAGTGAACACTGCTTGCACAGTGAGCTGTCCAGTTACAGTTTCATTTGGAACACAGCCAGTCAGTAATGGAAGCTGTGAGTTCCAGCAAAATGTCACTAGTGAGCAGCCTCTCTCTCCTGGAGACACAACTACCCTCTCAGTGGAGGCTGGCTCCGTCACTATACAGTCTGGTGAAACATACTGTTACCTTGTCACTCTTTGTGGCAACCCAGGCAAGTATAGTTTTATACAATAAAGAACTGTGACTCATTATAAATAGATAATAATATTATTAGTTCGTGAAGGCAGTGGAGGAGGCCTACCAACTGGTGCTTTGGCTGGAATTGTTACTTTGATTATCATTATTATCTTGGTTGCCTTCGCCATCATTGTGCTCTTCCTCTGTAAGTATATACAAGAAAAGAGAGAATGGCTGATTAGAATGTTTTACATAATGCAGGTCATATTGGTATTGGGGGTCATAGGATGCAGAGGTTAGTCCGTGGACTTTTGCTCCTATGAGTATTAGAGTCATTATGCCAGCCTATGACACACTGCACAGTTACAAGCGAGGTGACAAGAAGAAACTCATTGCTCCTGAGGCGGAGGCACAAAACCAGGTACACTGGCTCTACTCTTAAAGTTTAAAATCCCACAAGTGAAAATTCATGTTTTGTCATGTATGGGTGTAGCTACATGAATGTGATTAGCACAGCAAGCTCCAATACTAGAGTTGTAAGCACTGACACGGACGGCTTACTTCGCCGGGTTACCTCATTCATTAAAAAAGAATGTAAGTGCGGATAAACTTCTTTGCTAATGTTTGAGCTTTCCACTTTTTTGTATAACAACGTGGCACCATGCAGTTCCATGGAAGAGTTGATTAAAATTGTGGCTGCCTCCAATGGCAGAAAGGCAGTGGCAAACAAACTAAGGACTGTACACCGGGGTATTGATAACTCTTTTGAGTGCAACTATATAACTGCAGGACCCGGGGACCATTGAACTTCAAGAAGGACCTAGTGGAGACCTGTATGCTACACCCCAAAAGCCGAAGAAGGAAAAGGAGGAGGAGGAGGGAGTAGAGACAGGACAGAAGGAACTGACAGAGGAGGAGAAAGCTGCTCTCTACTCTGTTCCTAACAAGAAGTTCCAGACTGGAGAGGTCAGTGTTGAAGGTTTGCCAAAACCTTAGTATTGACTCATGTTCCTGAGTTTGAGTTGATCTTAGCTACATGCACTAAAATTGCTGGCACAGATAATAATAAAAATGTACTTTAGTATTACTGTTTGTGAGACAATGCTATACCGCATACCATTCCGCCTGTTAAGCAGCTATTTGCTGATTTATGCCTAAATACCTTCAAATTGTGACTGCCACCAATGGCAGAAGAGTGACAAACAAAACTATTATCTGTAATGCATACATGGGTATTGACATTGCAGGACCCTGTGGCTATTGAACATCAAGAAGGACCCAGCGGAGACCTGTATGCTATGCCCCAGAAGTCAAAGAAGAATAAGGGGAAGGAGGAGGAAGAGAAGGCAGAGCAGGAGGAACTGATGGAGGAGAACTCTGCTCCTTACAAGACGAAATTCCAGACAGCTGGAGAGGTCAGAGTGAAGGTTTGCCAAAACCTTAGTATTGAATCATACTCGTGAACTATAGTTGATCTTACCTGACATTAAAATAGCTGGCACTGACAACCTTCTTCTTGTTAACCGTCGGCGCGCATGCGCAGCGAGGGTTACCGTCGTGTGTGTCTGTCTGTCTATATGTTACCACGTTTTCTGCCATCGCGCGCAAGAAATCGGAGAAAAAGCAATAGTAATGGGTTCAGTGCTACACAGGCTTGATTTGAAAAAAGGCGATTTTCATACAAATACTGCGTTCGAAAGTTATGGCGTGGTGAACAAGCCAATATGCAAATTAGCACCGGCTTACCTCGATCGGGACCGCTTGCTCCGTGTACCTTGGAGGCACAATAAATCACAACGAAGGGCGTGCATCGACTCCCGCATGCTATCTACTACAGTAGCTCGCCCGTGACAGACTCTCCGCAAACGAGTGTGGTAACCTGAACATTTGCATTATTCATTGTTGGTTACGTCACGTGCATAGTCACTTCCTGTGCATATATAATTAAGTGTATGTCTCTACCGTCTGGATTGAGTGTGACCTGTTAGTAGTTGTTGTGTGTGGCCGCGGTCCCTTGTCACGAACCGTTCAGTTAGGCTAGCACATAACAAATTGGCGACGAGGACGGATTCGACAAACCCCGCGATGGCAAGCATTCACGGTCATCTGCCGATGTTCACCGGCAGCGCAGCCGAATGGGACGTGTTCGCTGAGCAGCTGACCTACTACTTCGTTGCGAACGGAATCGACGACGCCGACAAGAAGAGAGCGATCCTCCTCTGTGCCTGCGGGAAGATAACCTACAAACTGCTGAAGACACTGGTAGCGCCCGCCGAACTCACAGCGAAGTCGTTCGCCGAACTCGTCCAGCTGGCTAAGGAGCACTACACTCCGAAGCCGTCCGTCATCATGTGCCGTTTCCGATTCAACACCAGCGTTCGTCAGGACGGAGAGTCGATTACCTGCTTCGTCACCCGTCTACGCGATTCTGGCGTCGCTCTGCGAATACGGGGACTCTGTGAAAGAGCTGATCAGAGACCGACTAGTCTGTGGAGTGAGAGACGATACACTCCAACGCACCCTACTCGCCGTCGCCAAACTCACGTACGACAAAGCATATGAGCTCGCTGTTCTTCACGAATCGGCAGCACAGAACTCGCGTCTACTGAGTTCTTCGTCTACAACACCCGTTCACTACGTCAATCCCGATCCACCGCATAAAGACATGCGACTGGGGAAGCCGTGCTATCGTTGCGGAGGGAAACATTCAGCCACTACATGCCACTTCAAGGATGTCGTGTGTAACTTCTGTTATAAGAAAGGACATATCCAACGTGTGTGTCAGAGCCGTCTTCGTCGGCGCAACCCATCATCTCCGCCAGTCAACCCAACGAAGGGCCAACAACCTCGTACACACAGGGTAGAGGAGGGACAGGAGTCGCCATCCTCTGCAGTAGACACTGATGACACAACCACCACTCAACAGACCCCACCCTGCTGTTGTATGAGGGAATCCTGGAACCTGTACAGTTCTCGGAGTGGGCAGCACCAATCGTCCCGGTAGTGAAGAGAGACGGCAGCATCCGAGTCTGTGGGGACTATAAACTGACCGTGAATCAAGTGGCCCTCGTGGATACATATCCACTGCCCCTGCTTCAAGACATTTTCGCATCGCTCGCCAATGGCAAAGCGTTCACGAAACTCGACCTCGCGCACGCTTATCAACAGCTACCTCTCGATGACGACTCGCGGCCCTATACGACGATCATACACATAAGGCCTCTTCGATATACGCGATTACCTTTTTGGTGTGTGGCCGCCGCTCCAGCCATCTTCCAACGTACTATGGAGTCACTCCTGGGAGATCTATCCCACGTTTGCATTTACCTCGACGACATCCTCGTGACTGGAGAGTCGGAAACCGCCCATCTGCGGAATCTGGCAGCTGTACTGGAACACCTGGAGTCCGCTGGAGCACGCCTGAAACGCGAGAAGTGTTCGCTCATGATCCCTGAGGTCGAGAGTACTTGGGTCATCGCATCTCAGCAAAAGGGATTCACCCCGTTCCGGAGAAAGTTAGTGCTGTCAGGGAGGCACCCAGACCCAAAGATGTGTCCCAGCTCAGATCGTTCTTGGGCATGGTGAATTATTACGGGAAGTTTCTTCCAAATCTAGCAACACTGCTTCGTCTCTGTACGACTTGCTCCAGTCAGCCAAGACCTGGAGCTGGGGAGACTCCCAGGAGCAGGCCTTCCGTAAGGCCAAGGAACTACTCTCGTCAGCACCTCTCCTCACACACTATGACCCCGAGAAGCAGTTGATATTGTCGTGTGATGCATCTCCGTATGGAGTTGGTGCCGTGTTGTCACATCGTTTCGAAGACAACAGCGAACGTCCAATCGCCTACGCGTCGCGAACGCTCTCGCCAGCCGAACAGAAATACGCACAACTCGACAAGGAGGCACTTAGCATTGTGTTTGGTGTGAAACGCTTTCATCAATATTTGTACGGTCGCAAGTTTACGATCCTCTCAGACCACAAACCCCTTCAATACCTCCTCGGAGAAACCAGGGGCATCCCACCGATGGCCTCTGCTCGTATCCAGCGTTGGGCACTAATGCTTAGTGCCTACCATTACGAGATCTGCTACAAGCCCGGAGCAGACCACGCCAATGCCGATGGTCTCAGCCGTCTACCCATGGCCAACTACATCACTGAAGTGCCCATACCCGGAGACGTTCTCTTGCTGTTCCGCACACTGGAAGCACACCAGTCAGAGCCACCCAAATCCGCCAATGGACGGATACAGACCCTGTCCTGTCCCGTGTACGCCGGAATCTCCTCGGTGGATGGGTCAAGTTGAATGACCCGGACCTACAACCGTATCAGTCAAGGGCTTCAGAGCTCAGTGTCCAGGATGGGTGTGTTCTATGGGGCAGCAGGGTAGTGATACCTCAGAGGGGGAGGAAAGCAGTCATTGACCTCCTGCACGAACAACACCCCGGAATTACTCGCATGAAGAGGTTGGCAAGGGGGTATGTGTGGTGGCCAGGGATGGATAAGGGGCTAGAGTCAGCAGTCACGACGTGTGTTGAGTGCCAGGAGCATCAGAAATCACCAGCCAAGGCTCCAATGCACCCCTGGGAATGGCCTGAACGACCGTGGGCCAGGATCCACATTGACTATGCCGGACCAATCAGGGGGGAAATGATACTAGTCATTGTGGACGCACACTCGAAGTGGATCGAGGCTCTGGTGGTCAACTCGGCTACATCTAACGCTACTATTGAGAAGCTGCAGTCAGTCTTTGCGACCCATGGCCTGCCAGAAGTGATGGTCTCGGACAATGGGACTGCATTCACAAGTGAAGAATTCGCTGCATTCGTTCAGAAAAATGGCATCTGACATCTGACGAGTGCTCCATACCACCCCGCCTCCAACGGGCTAGCCGAGAGGGCAGTCCAGACCCTCAAGACGGCACTAAAGAAGGATTCCAGTGGGGTTAGTCTCGAGAAACAGATTCATCACTTTGTCTTCCGTTACCGCATTACGCCTCACTCAACCACGGGTGTTGCACCAGCCGAGCTTCTGTTGGGGCGTAGGCCTCGTTCACGTCTGGACCTCCTACACCCTGAGATAGTTGAGCGGGTCAGAAAGAGGCAGGCAGAGCAAAAGGGCCGCCACGACCGCCATTGACGTGAATGGGAACTGTCGGTAGGTCAGCCAGTTTGGGTCAAGGGGCTACCGACGGGTATATCGTGGCTACCGGGGACTATCGTTCAAGCGCAAAGGCCCTGAACGGTTCCGAATCTGCCTGAGAGATGGCCGTACGGTAGACAGGCATATTGACCATGTCCGACTTCGTGCGGAAGCGGATGAGGGAGCGTCGGCCGTAGAGCCCGTGTTCCCTGCATCCGTCTTGCTGGAGGACAGAGACCCCACTCCACCTCGTGATGCCCTACCAGCAGATCCGGTCGAACTTCCTCCACCTCAGCCACGTCCCGAGAGGTTAATGTGAACAGACTTTTCGAAACTAAAGGGGGAGGAATTGTGGTAACCTGAACTCTTGCATTATTCATTGTTGGTTACGTCACGTGCATAGTCACTTCCTGTGCATATATAAGTGTATGTCTCTACCGTCTGTGTGCAGATGATTGAGTGTGACCTGTTAGTAGTTGTTGTGTGTGGCCGCGGTCCCTTGTCACGAACCGTTCAGTTAGGCTAGCACATAACGAGTAAAAACGCATGCCCAGAGCGGTATCGTGAATGCGCAGTTCGCCGAGGGTTTGTACTTTAGTGCTTTTCATATTGTTTTAGGTAATGCTAGACTCATAGCTTTCCACCAGTTTAGCAACTTTTTGGAGTTTCAAGCTGATTCATGTCCAGGCAATAACTACCATGAAATTGTAATCCTCAATAATTGCACACATAACTCTTCACCTAACGGCAGGACCCGGTGCCCATTGAACATCAAGAAGGACCCAGCGGAGACCTGTATGCTATGCCCCAGAAGTCAAAGAAGAATAAGGGGAAGGAGGAGGAACTGATGGGGGAGAAAGCTTCCCTCTATTCTGTTCCTGACAAGAAGAGACAGAAAAGGAGTGGAGGGGTAAGTAAGGGGGCTCCTGTCTGAGCTATAAATGAATGCCACATCATGATTCAACACAGCTTTAACAATGTGGGTCTTCAGAAAACTGCATGGATTGTTTTCATAAAAGTCTATAACTTGGCAAAAACAGATTGCTAGGCTTTCAGCAAAAGTTGACGTAGCTACCAATATCTAATACATTATGCCAAGGACCTTGTGTGCCCTCTGTTTTCTTCACTCAATCCGCCCCTCTCCTTCGCTGGGATTAGTTACAAAGGACTTTCAGGAGATGATATCACTATACATTTTTAGAGAAACGATTTTTTCAATAATTGAGGAGTTGAAAGCCTTTATCTGTACATTCCATACTCCCTTCCTCCAATGCCAGTAGCTCAACATAAAGCTCAAGGTAGTTTAATTGACTGTTGATCTTTTCCTGTCACAGTTGAATTATGCAGATATAGTGATCACCTCCACCTCCAACCCAGCCCCTCCGCTGTCTGGAGGATCCACTTACGCCGTTATAAACAAAAATGACTAAAAGTCACTGATTGACAAAGATGCTACATGACTATGCGATTTAATTGTGTAGTATTACATAGTGTCGTTTATGCATAAGAGTAGTTTTTGTTTATGAGCTAAAAAGTGTTTAATTTGTTACATGTACGTACATATAGACATGTATATAATAATTTGATTAATTTAATTAATTGATTGCTATGGGCCTGCTCTCAGTTTATGGGGGGTTGCAATCTCAAGTATGCGTAAGTCATACACAAAAACCCCATGAGAATGAACATCCTGATTCACGTAGTTTATCGAGATTCATTGATGTTGCCTGAGTCATGGTAGGAGCTATATACACGCATCACAGGGAAAGGACTGCTGCCAATGTCTTTGGGTGTTGTATTCAGATGAAAGAAAAATCCACTCACTCACTATACGAGGCAACAACTTGTTGCTCAAAACACGAGAAAGTTTGCCCTGTGTATGATTACAAGTTGCAGAGGCCTCTTGCACTGGTTTTTCAGCAATAATTAGGAAATAATGTTCTGTTTCTGAAAGTTTGTTGCTGCAAGTTGCCTTGTGTATGATATACAATGGACTTTAGAACACTCTGCTCAAACTAAGAGTAATGACACATTGACTCAGAAGATTGAGGCTGTACAATAATAATGGTAGCAGAAACGTTAGCAGTTCCATCTCAATCCATTTTTGTTTTACATTCATGTCAGGGTGTAATTGGCATGTGAAGTGAAATGAAAGTCATAGCTATCTGATGCTGTCACTATGAATACATGTGAAACTGCTGCAGCTCAGTTTCTTACTTTTTGCTAAAGGCTTTCTATAATACCACAAGTAGCTGTTTTTCAAGAGCTGTGGATAAATTAATAATTATTCTAACTTTGAATTTCAGCACCACCAAATATCTCCGATGTTTCTGTTGAGTTCAGTTGTGATGTCAACCTGAAGATTTCTGCACCAGTAACAATTGAATGGATGGTAAGAAAGTACATGTGTAACATGTTGAGAAAAGTCAACAGCAACCTCCCATTCCTTCAAACAGTATGGAGTTGTGGAGGAGGGAGTAGTATATCCAGGAGATGTGGAGGTGGTTCTGAAGCTCAACAATGGACCCATCATCTGCTCTGATGTGACGGATGCTAACATCAGCTGTACTGTGACACTCCCCAGAGATGTCTATAACATCTCTATCACTCAGTCCAATGACATTGGCTCTACTGTGGACAGTGCAAGTTTTGATAGTGAGTGTGTTCTATAAGTTAGCTACATCTTTATCAACCAATGATATCCCCCATAGTGGCAGTGCTAGTTGTATCAGAACAAATTTCCTTGATACTAAACACTCAATTGTTGTTTATCGTCACCGTGAGAAGAAATGGACTATGTCCAGAGACTAAGTCTCCAGTTCTAGTAACATTTGGAACCATTAGAAAAGTGGCTGGAGGAGAGTGTGAGATCCAGCAGAAATCATCTGAAATGACCATCTCTTCTGGAGACTCTGCCTCTTTCTATGGTGATGCTGCGCCTATCACCTTAGGCCCTGATGAGACAATCTGCTTTATAGTCAGCCTTGATGGAGTGCCTGGTACGTTTCACAGAAATGAGAAGTGTGTATTTGAGATTCAATGCTTCTTTCCCACAGTGATATCTGGCACTAGTTCAAGGAATGCATCTACAGCCATCACTATTAGTGGTAGTAGCGATCAAAGTATTGTTTCAGTTGATGCTGTTGCAGGTATTGCGGTGGCTCTCTCTCTGCTGGTGGTTCTGCCAGTGGGTGTGGTTTTTGGCTGCTGTGGAATGTGGTGTCTGATGAAGTCTCAAGGTAGAAAGAAGAGAAGAATGGCCCCACCACTGTACGAGGAGCCAGTAAAACCTGTTTTTTCTCTGACTGAGAACCAAGCATATGGACAGGTTGCACGTCGACAGACGACCAGCTGAATGTAACTTGCAACGGGAGCTGGAAAATTCAGTAGCTAATTTAAGTTAGCTGTGTGAATCATTCATGTATTATTATATACATAATTATTACTTAGCAATGACTTTTGATTTACTAATGTGCACGGTCACTTTCAGTCACGCATTCGGCTTTTTCAGCACGCATGCGCAATTCAGCCCAAATCGACACACCCCTTTCATCCCGCGCACGCGCGTTGTGGCGATCTTTCTTTCTGCCGTTTTACAGACCTACGCACAGCCTCTGTGCCTGCCTTTAATCCTGCTCTGACATTTACGACATGTCTCACTCAATCCGGACCTTTTAGCTTTTTTCTGAAAGGGTAGATGAAAGCAACAGTGAACATCAAGCTTCGACCGCCACATCCAAGTGCCGACTGACCACTTCTGAGATTGCGTGGGTGGTGTTTAGCCGCAATGCCGCCCGCCTACCTGTTCAAAGTTCACAATTGTTGTTGTTTCTAGAAGTGTGTAAATTTACATTTTGTGACCGAAAGCGTTATGCTGCGGCTAAGGATTGCGCATGCGCTCATGTTGTGCTATAATTATAATAATAATATGAACGCGTAGGTTGCTATGACGTAATGAGTTACCGCGCGCATCCCTGTGCGCCAAGTGCATGTGGCATACCGGATTCTCCCATTTATTGCCCAGAATTATGACCTGATCTCCCTTTAGCTATATAGCTAAGTTCATAGTAGCTATTTGGTTGTATCTGAGGAAGGGTCGCGCCGGTAGGCTGACCTAAAATTGGGTAGGTTCTTATGCATACTTGGCGGCATTATAACTGGTTATATACAAACTTGTTATTTTGTATTCAGCTCACGACGTCCCATAGTGTAGCGTGCGTGCGCGCAGTGAGCGGTTTGCGCGACGAGGATTCTCGCGGAGCTACCCCTTCCTTCCCGGGCACGCACGCGTGCGGAAGGCTTCACGTAGCGTGGGTATGGAGCGCCCTGCAGAGTCGCGCGGACCTTACGCCGGTGTTCGTCCGCGCCTACCGAACCCCCTCAGCCTATATACGGGAATGAGGGTGCTGTGCATAAACACAGCTCATTCCCACAACAGCAAGCTAACGGGTGACGCAACATCAACAATATTGTCAGTAGCGGCAGGTCGCTCATCTCGTGCCAGAGCGAATGAAGACTCTAGGTCCCTCTGTAAGTGTCTAAGACTGGTACGAAGTACGGGATACTGAACCCAGTGAAGGGACGAGGATAAAGGAGTTTTGTGAGCTGTATTATTATTATTATTATAGTAGCACGACCGGAATGTCTGTGTTAGTAAGAACCAGTACTGCGATGATACTGTGATGATACTTTGTTATTCGTGCAGGTGAAATGTGTTTTCGTTTTATTGGGTCTTTGTCAAACGATTGTTTCAGGTATGAATATTTCACTGTATTTCGAAATTTATATATGTCTGTCATAATCTTTGCCTGTTAAACACACCATAAGGGGGAGCATAGAACCACTCGGAGGATGAATTACAGTCTAGTCTAAGCTTATGCTGACCGTCTTCATCGTCAATGAGCGTGGCCTTGCATGGCACACGGCATTGTAGCTATACACCCCAAGCAAACTAGCGCAGTATTAGGGTATTAGACGCTTAGCGCCAAGTACAAATGTACTGCTTTAGGTGTATTAAAATGTAATACTGTATATTAGTGTATAATATTGAGTCATGTTGTTTGAAAAGGCTAAATGCTTCAAAGGAACTCTACCATGTTAGTTATGGATAACACAAGGTTGTTTACCCTAGGTTAATTTACAATTCTACGTTCTTTAGCTGCAACACAGGATGTTTCTGTGGTCAGGATTGAACCAGATCCCCTGCAGCAGTTGCCATGTCCACAGCAGAAGATAGAGTTCAGGTGCCAGATATTGGTACCATCATTTGTAATGCAATGGACCCTTCCAACCGGTGAAACTGTGGAGTTTGGTCAAGCAGAGAACATTGGAGCTGTTTATGTTTCATCTGATGATGCATACAGCGCTACTCTAACAGACAGGACAGAAGATCCCAATAATAACAATAGGTTCTTCTTCACCTCAACTCTACTGGTCATGGAGCCAGTAAATTGGTCAAACCTGACTTGTGTGGCAGTCAGTGGAGCAGTTCCAGTCAAAGAGAGCACTTCAATAATTCTCAGTGGTAGGAATTGTTGTAAACAGTTTCTCCAACGTACAACTTTGTGTAACCACAGTTGTTTGCCTAAGGCTAAGGCCAGAGGTCAAATCTCACCTGAATCACTTACAGGAGCATCCAAATGTGGCATTCTATACTGATTTAAGGCTCGAATACAGGATCAACTTCCTCCACATGCACATGAAGCAGAACACCTGGTTCACATGCTTATATATAGTTGTTTTAATACCCCTGTATTAGTACCCCATACCCTCCCAAAAATCTGGGTTACAACGATAGAGTTGTGATAGAGAATTCAGTGGATCTCCAGTGGACCAGACCAACCTATACTGGGGGAGTGGCTATAGTCAACTACACAGTCAGCAGTACCAGTGGTGTCACAGTGACGGTGAAAGACAGCAGTCAGGACGTGCAGTATTCCCCTGGTCTCGTCTATGGAGAGGTTCAGGTCTCAGCTATCAATACATGTGGCCAGGAAAGCCAGCCAGCAGTTATTAACATATCTGCTGCAGGTGATTGTACTGCAAGTGTCAATCTCAGTGATGCAATTAATAAGTGATAACAGATGATACGGATGCACAGTCACTTGGTAACACTGCATATAAGCAGTGCTTTTTTCTCCCCTCCCTAGCTGCACATGTGTTGTGGTGCCAGAGTTGGACATACTTTTTATTAACTGTGGTGTTTTAACAAGGCAAACAAGTCAACTATACACCCAGGATAGCTCCTTCCTACAGCTCTTTCCTTGAAAAGAAAGAGCTGTCCTGGGTGTAGTTGACTTGTTTGCCTTGCCTTTCTACCTCGCTACCAAGTTGTTGAGACTTGCGAATATGGACACTCTTTTAGTACCACCACTACCTAACATTGCAGTTCAGTTCACC